GCACGGAGGAGTGGGTCTTCGTGATGATCTTGACCTTGTACCCTTCTTCCCGGAGGGCGGTCACGATCTGGCGCGCCAGGTAGGTTTTCCCCGTGCCCGGGAAGCCCGTCAGCAGAAGGCCTTCGCCTTCGAGGCAGTGGAGCACGGGGTCCCCCGCGACCCTCCAGTTCGCCGTGCTGCAATAAGGACACTTGGCCTCGATTCGGGGGTTCCGGTACTGGCCCTCGAGGCCCTTGACCTCCTCGCACCGGTACACGGGCGTGCCGTCGGGGTGTTTTTGGCGGACCAGGCCGTCCACGAGGCCCTGGAACTTTTTGGGCAGGTCCTGGAAGACGACGCAGTCCGTCTTCACGGCCTTCAGGTACCTCGACGGCACGGTTGCGAGCGCGTCCCGGATGCGGCAGACCGCGACGTACTCCGAGGCCATCACGAAGTCGTGCAGCTCCGGTTGGACAGCAGCTGGGTCACGTAGATGTGGTCCCAGTGCATCCCGCCCGCGGCGTCCAGGAACAGCTCCCGGTGCTGGCAGCCGGAGCCGTCGAACTGGTGGTTGCTGGTGCGCATGGTGTAGATGAGGTCCATGTTGCGCGCCCAGAGCCCGATCAGAGCGTTCACCGACAGCTTCGCGTAGTGCTCCTCTCCCTCCGGCCAGGCCGCCTCCATCTGCTGCAGGGCCTGGGTCACGGACTCCTGGTCCACGTGCGCCGTGGCGTCCAGGCTCCACGCCAGGTCGTTCCAGGTGGCGATGCCCCTTTCGAGCATGTAGGCCACCGCGGGCTTGGCGTACCAGCCTTCGCCCACGCAGGGGAGCCGCGGGAAGGTTGCCCAACGCCCGTCCTCCGGGAGCTTCACGTATAGGTCAGGTCGGCCAGGTGCCCCTCGCGGGCTTGCTCCATGTTGTCCTTGGGGCAGAAGATGGGTGCCGGGAACCTGGGGTGGGGCAGGGCGTTCTTGCGGCACCGGACCACGTCTATTCCGTGGCAGATGCGGTCCGGCTTGTGGCTGTTGAGCTTGAAGACCAGCGGGGGCAGCCGGGGCGATTCCACGTAGGCCTCGTAAGCCCGCCGGCTGAAGCGGGACTCCAGCGTCGTGGCGTGCGAGTGCTCCAGGGCCGTTTTGTTCCGGTGGCACTCGAGGCACAGGGCCTGCAAGTTCTGGGCCTGCGCGGAGAAGGACTGGTGCACGGGGACGATGTGGTCCAGCTCGCACGTCGCCGCGGTGATGGGCGCCGCGCAGAGCTTGCACTGGTGGTCCTGCATCCAGGCCTGCAGCACCTCCAGGTCCTCGTGGAAGGCGCAGATGACGCAGTCCCCGCCACCCCGCACGCGGAGCCGCAGGCACCGCCACTCGCTCATGCTCCGCATGACCACCTTGGGGCAGTGCCCCTCGGCCAGGAGCTCCCTCCGGACCTGCTCCAGGTCCTCGGCGTAGAAGTGGCCGCTGGCGACCTCGCCCTCCCACTCCCGCCAGTCCTTGAACTCCGGCGTTTCGCCTGGCTTCCTCTCGCCCCGGTATTTGGCCTGGGCCCGGTCCCCGATCGATCGGCTCGCACTTCGCGACGGTGCGGGCGGATTTGTAGAAGAAGGCGTGGCCGTTCCAGCTCGTGAAGGCCACGGCCCGCTGCTCCTTCACGGAAGGCTCGTACTTGTCCAGCAGGCGGCCCTGGCAGTCCACGTAGAACATCGGGGCCGAGCGCCAGACGCAGAACGATCGGATCTCTCGGGGGGTGATGCCTTGCTCCCGCCACTTGCTCCCGATGCCGGTGATTGCGTCGAAGTCCGAGAGCCCCTCGCTCTGCCGGGACAGGGCGACGTTGAGGTCGCTGACGGGCAGGCGCTTCGTGCGCTCGTAGGGCATGCCGCGGTTCCGGCCGTTTCGCCGGACGCCGCGGATGATGACGGGCACGTGCACCACCCAGTCCACCCACTTGTCCTTGAAGAAGCTTTTCCCGAGCTTGGTCAAGTGGTAGTTCCCGTTGGGCTGGAGGCTGCGGAGCAGCTTCTTGGCGCCGCCCCGGAGCATGATGTAGTCGTTGGGGCCCTCGCGGACAGGGTCGGCTCAAACCCTCCCTAAACCGGCAGTTTTTTAACGTTTTGCACGAGATCTTGGCCGGTATTTGGGTTTTGCATGAGTTTTTGTCATGGAGTTTTTGACATGATTTTGACACGTTTGATTTTTGCTAGAGTGCTTGTCATGATTTTTTCACATGATTTTGACACGTTTGATTTTTGTTAGAGTGCTTGTCTGTGCTCGCTCCCTCGAACAATGCGCAGCAGGCAATAGCAGCAGACAACAGCACCTTTTGTTGCTTGAGAAGGCATGGAACAGGTAGCTAAGCAAGACAACAGCAAACACACAAGACTTGACACAGAGAGGTAGTGTCCGAACGCCGGGCACACAGAGGCTTCAGGGTTCCTTGGAGGTTGAAGGCAAGGGGATCTGAGGCTGCGAGGTGTCTGCTGCAGTAGGCGTCAGGAGTGCCCTGTGCTGTCGCCCACCTGTAACCTAGAGTGTTGTGCGCCTCCCCTCCCGTCCCGGGAACCCTGTTCCTGTACGCCTAGCGAGAGGATGCACGTCCAGGTTACATTTCAGGGGGGGGGGGGGCCTCACCCCAGGGTGGGGGCCCCCCGGGGGGCCCCCACCCTGGGGTGAGGGCCCCCTTCTTTCTTCAGATGAGGGGCTGGTTGCGGTCGTACTGCCGGCTGGGGGGTGGCCGGCCGATCAGTTGGTAGTAGTACTGGCCGGCTCTCGTCAGCTCGCCGTTGGGGCGGCTGAGCATCGCGTAGCGGAGGTGGTGGTGTTTCAAAGGAAGGGTTTCTGAGCCTGCCGCCGAGGTCCTCGCCCTGACCCCGGCCTCAGCTGCTAGTTTGATGGCTTGTCGTTGCTGAGCCCAGCTCATGACTTTTGAACAACCCGCCCGGAAAAAAGGTCGCCGCCCGAGCGGGCCCCTTCGCCGGACGAGTCTTGTTGTACAGTTGTTGGCTCAAGCCTCCCCGTTGTACAGCGGCTTGTACAGTTTTTGGCTCAACTCTTGTGTACAGGTTCGGCTCAAGCCCTCCCTAAACCCTATACTCCCTAACCCCTAAACCCTAAGCGTGTTTTCGTTTGGTACGAGTTTTCTTTCATGTTTCACTGCTCTGGAGCGAGCAGGCTTAGTCACTGCTCTGGAGCGAGCAGGCTTAGTCACTGCTCTGGAGCGAGCAGGCCTAAACAAACATTCCCCTTAAACCCTGTCCTAAACCCTAAAAACTCTGGCTTTTTGTCTTTTGCATGTTTGCTTGATTTTCGCATGTTTTTGGCATGTTTTTTGGATTTTTTTGATGATTTTTGCTAGCAAAAGGACCTGGCAAGACGCACCGAGCGAAGACAGCAAGCACGCAAGCCCTGACACAGTGTCCGAACGCCGGGTGCGCAGAGGCTTCAGGGTTTTTTGGAGGTTGCAGGCAAAGGGGTCTGAGGCTGCGAGGTGTCTGCTGCAGTAGGTGTCAGGAGTGCCCTGCGCTGTCGCCCACCTCTAACCTAGAGTGTTGTGCGCCTCCCCTCCCGTCCCGGGAACCCCGGGCCCCTATCCTGCGACCAGGTGCGCTTCGTGACCTTCGGCTTCTTCGACAGCTTCCAGCAGAGGTGGGGTTAGTGAAGGGTTTCTGAGTGCTTCGAGGCCGTGTTCTGCGCGGCTGTGTACTCTAGGAGTGCTGCGTCCCTTCCTTCCCCAAGACCCCCGACCCTTTTCTCTCCGTGACCCCTTTTTGCGTCGGGACTCGGGACTGGGAGGCGTGACCCCGTGACCCCTTTTTGGGTCGGGACTGGGAGGCGTGACCCCGTGACCCCGTGACCCCTTTTGGGTCGGGACTGGGAGCGTGACCCCGTGACCCCGTGACCCCTTTTGGGTCGGGACTGGGAGCGTGACCCCGTGACCCCTTTTTGGGTCGGGACTGGGAGCGTGACCCCGTGACCCCGTGACCCCTTTGAGTCGGGACTGGGAGCGTGACCCCGTGACCCCTTTTGGGTCGGGACTGGGAGCGTGACGGCGTGACCCCACATGAGGGTTTTCGTGAGGGCGACGGGGGGGTCACGGGGTCACGGGGGTCACGCAGGCCACGCGGCGGGTCACAGGGGTCACGGGGTCACGGGGTCACGAGGTCACGGGGTCACGGGGTCACGGCGTCACGGCGGCGTGCGGGGGGTGACGGGGTCACGGGGGTCACGGGGTCACGGGCTCACGGAGGTTACTGGGGTCACGGGGCTTACGGGGGGTTGACGGGGTCACGGGGTCACGGCGCTTACAGGGCGGTCACGGTGTCACGGCGCTTTCGGGGGGGTGACGGGGTCACGGGGTCACGGCGCGTCACGGGGTCACGGGCTCACGGCGCTTCCGGCGCTTGCGGGGTCACGGGGTCACGGCGCTTTTTTTGGGGGGGGGTGACGTGGTCAGGGGTCACGGGGTCACGTGGTCACGGTGCTCAATCACGGGGTTACGGGTCACGGCGCTCACGGGGTCACGGGGTGACGGGGTCACGAGGTCACGGGGTCACGGGGCTGACGGGGCGGTTACGCGGCGGTTACGGGGTCACGGGGTCACGGGGTTTGTGGGGAAGTGACGGGGTCACGGGGTTCACGCTGATCGGGGTGCTCGAAAGATTGCAGGCCCTTCACTGCCCACCAGGCCCTCCCACCCCCACCAGGCCCTCCCACCCTGAGACTGGGGCCAGGGTTTCACATTTCACGGGCCTTTCAGGGTGGCAAGGTTTCACATTTCATGGGCTTTGGGGGAGTGTGCCGTGTCGCCGCAAGGCCCGATCACTGCTGAGAACCCCGACCGAGGCATCTTGCAGCAGTTGCTTGTGCACACCTGGCCACACTTGCAACTGCTGCGCATGTTGAATTGCAGTTGGTAAACTAAAAACTTGGCCGGTGACTGAAACAGGTGGAACTCGATCATTCGTTCATGCAGATTGCAGTGCTTTTGCTCGAGCCAGAGGACAGCTAGGACGATTGCCGCCATGAGCAGGCCTCCAGCAACATCGCGCAAGGTCGGGCGCGTGGTGGTGCTACTGGTGCTGTTCCTGCTGTGTTTGCCAGAGCCTAAGACCAGAGATTTGAACAGTGTTAGAAGTGTTCCCGAGCAGCTTCAGGCGAGCAAAGCAGACAGCGCGGGCTTTGCTTGGACCGGGGGCCGTGCCCCTTCCAAGGTGGGTTGTGGTATATGGCATGGAGTGCCGAAGATCCGCAAGCCAGAGCGAGGTCGGTTCCTCCGGGAATTTGGGCACGCAACTTGCTCGTTGCACGCAGGGCTGAGGCGGGAAGCCGAGACCGAGAGAAGTTCAGTGTTAAGCTTATATGTCCTGCAGAGCTGAGGCTGATGGCACTTTGGATGGTGGTGAGGCCGAAGACCATGAAGACGTCAAGGCGAAAAGGGTTTTGTCGTTTCGGCGTGGCGTTCCTTGTTCTGTTCTGATGGCGTTTCCTTCGCTCCTGCCCGAGTGTGTCATTTTCTGACCAGGGGTCTCGTGAAGATGACAACGAAACCAAGGCGAGAGCGGTTTGTGCTTTTGGTGTGTGTGTGTGTGTGTGTGTGTGCGTTCGGATTTCGCGTCGAAAGCGCCTCGGCGGGAGCATCAGACGAATTTCGAGGAGCTTGAGGGATTGATTGCGATTATCTCATGCTTGCATGAAACGGTCCTGCCAGCAGCACATGTACGTCTTTTCGGGATCAGTCCATGTTGGGAGGCCCCCAAAGGAAAGGATGATGTGGAGGAGGCGACGGCCGATGCACTTTCATGAGCCTGTTCTTGATGGTGAGGGCTTCGCAGTTCTGTGTGGCTCCTGCAGGCCAAAGCAAGCTTCGATGAGGCGGGCTCCGTGAAGGCTCGCTGACACTGGCATTTTCTTGAGACTGTGCCCTTTGCTGCAGGCCGAGGACAAGACAGTGGATGAGGCGCTTTGCGGTGTCTCTTGCTTAAGTGGTTTCTGTCCTTTCGGTGTGGTGCGGCCAGGGAGCTTCAGACGAATTCCGATGAGCTTGAGGGGTTGCTTATGCAGGCTGCCTCAGCACAGACCGCTGACCCGGTCGAAGATGCCAAGCAGGCTGTGCCTCCGAGGGTGTTGTTGCTTGCTTGCCTTTCTTGTTGTGGGCTGCGTCTGAGCGGGCTCTTGGCACCCCTGCACTTGGCAGGATCTGGATGCGGCAAAACGACAGCGAGATGTGGCCCTGAGAGGGCTGGAAAGGGCAGAAGCCCTGGCCGCATACCTGCAAGATCAGCTGCTGGGATTGAAAGACAGCAGCAGCGAAAAGGCCAAGGAGGTCGAGGCGAAACTAGAGAAGGCCGAAGAAAAGGTAGAGAAGGCCGAAAGAAAGGTGGAGACGGCCAAGCAGGAGGTAGAGAAGGTCAAGGAGGCGGCCAAGGAGGCGGCCAAAGCAAGCGTCCAGGCAGGACGAGTGCAGGCCGGGGCTTCTGCGGGTGCAGTTGTTGCTGTTGCATTTGATTTGCACTCCCGCATGGTCGTCGTGCCGTTTTTGCTTTTTGGGGTCATGCTCTCCTCTCAGCAAGGATTACAGCGGGGGGAGCGGGAGGGGCTCTTGGCTGCTTCAGGTTCATGCAAATCTGGTTGCCCTTTGTGTGCTTTGCTGAGGCTTCAGAACGGGGTGTCAGTCCTAGGCTCGAGGTTGAGGGGTCAGCCTGTTTTGCGCTCGCTTTGTGCTCTCCAGGTTGCGGTTGTTTTTGTTTGAGGCTCGACTTTCAGGTGTCCGTGAGGGGGGGGTCAAGGGACCTGGGTTCTTAGTGCCTGCCTTTAGCACGCGGACCTTGAAGAGCACTGGGGTTCCGGCAAGACGAGTGCAGGCCGGGGGCTTCTGCGTGGGCATGCCTTTAGCTTGCAGCACTCTTGCATGTCCGGGGCTCTTGGTCGTCGTGCTTTTCGTGCGGTCCACCGTTGCTGCTTTTTGGGGTCATGCTCTCCTCTCAGCAAGGATTCTGCTCGTCGTAAGCTTCACTGTGTGGTTTGCAGCCCTTCGGGGAGCGGGAGGGGCTCTTGGCTGCTTCAGGTTCATGCACATCTAGTTGCTCCTCGTGTTTTGCCGATGCTTCAGAACGGGGTGTCAGTTCTAGGCTCGAGGTGGGGGGGTCAGCCTGTTTTGCGCTCGCTTTGCGCTCGCCAGGTTGCGGTTGCTTTCGTTTGAGGCTCGACTTTCAGGTTACTGTGTCCGTGACGGGGGGTCAAGGGAGTCAACCCTGGGTGCCTTTAGCACACGGACTTTGAAGAGCAGTGGGGTTCCGGCAAGACTAGTGCAGGCTGGGGGCTTCTGCGTGGGCATGTTGCCTTTGGCTTGTAGCACTCCTGCCTGCCCGGGGCTCTTGGTCGTCGTGCGTTTTCGTGCGGTCCACCGTTTTTGCTGTTTGCTCCTCTCAGCAAGGGTCAGCTCGTCGTTAAGCTTCACTGTGTTGGCTTGCAGCACTTCGGGGAGCGGGAGGGGCTCTTCGCTGGTTTAGGTTTCATGCCAGTCGTGTTTTGCCGAGGGTGTCAGTCCGAGGCTCGAGGTGGGGCGGGGGGCTTGCGCGATTCTGCATGTGCGGTTGTTGCTGTCGCGTTTGTGCTCTCCTCTCAGCAAGGGTCAGCTCGTCGTTAAGCTTCACTGTGTTGGCTTGCAGCACTTCGGGAGCGGGAGGGGCTCTTGGCTGCTTCAGGTTCAGGCAAATCTGGTTGCCCTTCGTGTTTTGCCGACGCTTCAGAACGGGGTGTCAGTCCTAGGCTCGAGGTGGGGGAGGGGTCAGCCTGCTTTGCGCTCGCTTTGCCCTCGCTCTCCAGGTTGCGGTTGTTTTTGTTTGAGGCTCGACTTTCAGGTTACTGTGTCCGTAAGGGGGGGGGTCAAGGGGAGTCAACCCTACGTTCTAAGTGCTTGCTTTTAGCACGCGGACCTTGAAGAGCAGTGGGGTTCCGGCAAGACGAGGGCCGGCCGGGAGCTTCTGCGTGGGCATGTCGCCTTTGGTTTGTAGCGCTTGTCTTTGGTTTGTCGCACTCCTGCATGTCCGGGGCTCTTGGTCGTCGTGCGTTTTCGTGCGGTCCACCGTTGTTGCTTGTTGGGGTAATGCTTTCCTCTCAAGATCTCCTTGTGGTTAAGCTGTCTGCACTGTGTTGGCTTGCAGCACTTCGGGGAGTGGGAGGGGCTTTCGGAGCAGGGTCTTGGCTGCTTCAGGTTTCACGCAAGTCTGGTTGTCCTTCGTGTTTTACCGGGTGTTGGTGCTGGCAGTGAGGCTAGAGGTGAGGGTCTGCGTTGCTCTCAGGCTGCAGTTGTTTTTGCGTATGAGGTTCAGGTTACTGTATTTGTGCTTGTGTGCTTGGCCACCCTGCTGTCACTGTCGGTGTTGTTGTCTTTCTTGATTTGTCGGGGTCGCGCAGGGCCCGAGACGCCAGCGTTTTGCAGGGCAGCAGGTCACAGGGCACCAGGTGAAGCTTCATGTGTGCTTGTGTCGATGCTCGGCTTTTGCACTAGCCAACGTTTTGCGCTTCACTGTGTTGGCTTGCAGCACTTGGGGAGGGCGAGGGCTTTCGGAGCAATTGGCTGCTGTAGGTTCAATCAAATCTGGATGCTCTTCCTGTTATGCCGATGCTTCAGAACGGGGTGTCAATCCTAGGCTCGAGGTGGGGGAGGGGTCAGCCTGTTTTCCGCTCGCTTTGCGCTCTCCAGGTTGCGGTTGTTTTTGTTTGAGGCTCGACTTTCAGGTTACTGTGTCCGTGAGGGGGGGTCAAGGGAGTCAACCTGGGTTCTTAGTGCTTGCCTTTAGCGCGCGCACCTTGAAGAGCAGTGGGGTTCTGGCAAGACGAGTGCCGGCCGGGGGCATGTTGCCTTTGGCTTGTAGCACTCCTGCCTGCCCGGGGCTCTTGGTCGTCGTGCGTTTTCGTGCGGTCCACCGTTGTTGCTTTTTGGGTGATTTCTTCCTCTCAGCGCTTTTCGGAGCAGAGGGCTCTTGGCTGCTTCAGGTTTCACGCGAATCTGGTTGCACCTCGTGTTGTTGTTTTCGAGTGGAAGGCACCTTCGTGTCTCAGGCAAAGGTTATACGCAAATCTGGTTGCACCTCGTGTTTTGCCGAGAGGAAGTCACCTCTGTGGCTCAGGCAAAGGTTTCACACAAATCTGGTTTCTGTTCCTGCTTTTTGAACCCTGCGTTTGTTCTGAATGCTTGCAGTTAGGATCGAGGTGAGAGGGTCTGGCTCTCGGGCTGCAGTCGCTTTTGCGTATGAGGCTCAGATTACTTGACCGCCCTGCTGTCGCAGTTTCGTCGGTGTTGTTGTCTGTCTTGATTTGTCCAATGCTTCTCTTTGGTCTGTTATGAACGGCCAGCATGTTCGCGAAAACATGAAACAGGGTAGGAACCTGCTAGTCGGTTTTCTCCCTCCTTGCCGATGTTCGGTTTGTTGTGATTGTCAATCCCTTGTGCATGGCCAGGACCTGTTGGCCATCCCCGACTCAACTGGGCACTCGGCTTCTGACCTGCTGGCCATCAAAGACCGGCTGCAACAACTGTTGTCTCGCAACCTCCACGCGGAGCCAAATGATGCAGACTATGTGAACCACGAGGACACATCCAAAGCATTTCTTTCGGAAGTCAGCACGATGTTGGAGCACTTCAAAACCAGCAGGCGGTTGAACAAAGCTGACAGTCCGCTGCTGGAATACGCCACCATGAGCGGTGCTGGCAAAACGCGTTGGGGCTTCCATGTTGAGCGGTTGCTGAAAGCAGAACTCCCCGACTGTGCTATACTTCGTGTGGGGCTGAACTTTAATGGCGGTTCTGGCGGCGGCGATGCTGATCGCACCGAAGCAGTTCATCTTCTCAGTACTCAGAATTTCTCCGACCAACAAACCATGGCCTGTCTTCTTTTTGCTCGGGGACTCCTACAATGCTCGCCAGACGCCGTCCGTCATTTTGCAGCCTGGCTCAGGGGATTAACAACACCGGACGTGCTGGATGCCCTTTTTGAAAGTGCCCCAGAGGCAGACACTCGCATCCTTGTCGTTCATTTGGATGAGCTCGCCATGCTATTGAAGGAGACACGCCTTGGCTTCACTGACAAGAATCTCAAAGAGTTTGTGAACAACTTGGCTGACTACAACTGTGGGCAGAGGCCGCTGGGATTGGTGGTGCCCGTCATTACCCATACTTCGCCGGTGATATGGGATCCAGAGACAACTACAATACCGCTCAAGCGCATGAATCTGGGTCCCTTCAGTTTCGCGGAGTCGTTAAAGTTCTTTCAAGGCTGGTGAGGGGACAAATCTGCTGTTCGATGACATGTCCATGCCACTGCATGATGCATGCGTGTTTCCCTGAGGCATCAATGTTACGGACCTGGACTCCCTGCTTGCGATTAGCGCCTGTGGTGGTCACGCCGCGTTGCTGGTGGAGATGCGTAAATTCATGGGGCGGAAGAGTGGTGGACTTGGTCCACTGATCACATGCAGTCGTCTTGATCTTCACCGAAAATCCGTCAAAGCAATGGGCATGTCCAAGCAAGAATGCATTTCACTGCTCAAGGCGATCCTTTTGCAACAGGTCGTCCTCGAAGACAAGATTCGAAGGTACTCTCAGAAGGGTCTACTCTTCCTTGAGGACGACGATGGTAGGTATCGCGTTTCAGTCCCATACCCATGCTTGTTGAACCTGCTGGAGGTGCTTGATCGACCAGGGCGTTTTGAGAACCTGCGGTGGACTGGCAACACTCCAGCAAAGAGCAGGTGGAGAACGAAGGCATTCGAGGCTCTCTGCGCCATTCGGATTGCCATCGAAATGAAAGACTTCCCCTACGATTCGCCACGTGATCCTAACACTGTAGCGACGACATTCGTGAGAGAGAAGAAGTCTTGCGTCTGCCTTGCAAAGAAACAGAACGAGGCAGGTGTGGACGCCATCGGGGTTGATGGTGGTACAATGATTTTGTTGCAATGTAAATACCCAGAAATGGATTCCACAGCGCAAGACTGGAAGGAGGTTGAGCAGTTCATGAATTTCACAGCAAAAACGGGTGTGGAGTGGGCCAAGAAAGCAGGGTGCAACCAAATCCGTGCCATCTTTGCCACCGGGAGGGCGCCGAGAAATTACACATCCACAAGGCCAACTGAGCTTGAGGTTGACGGTGTGCATATCTCTTACACAGTCTATGCGAAGACCGAGAACCGAAAAGACTGTGCAATCAGGGCAATGCCGATCAGTACTTGGATTCCTTCCAGCGTCATGTGCTTCTGACCGAGATGCCTTGACCGTGGACCAAACGCAAAGACGAGGGGGGCAGATACAGTTTAATGAGTTGCAGAAGCATAGTCGCGAAACAGGATGTGCGGCGGCTTCTGCGTTAAAAAGATGTTGTGGCATCCGGCTCTAGCGCTTGTTGTGAAGGTGCATGTGCATGTACACTTTGTTGAGGCGTGCAGCAATTGGATGAGGGAACTGCAAAGCGTCATGTGCCCTGCCGTTAAAGCACGAAATCTATGATCGATGCCAGGTCTCAGCGCCCAAAGATGCATCCTGGCTTCGAAGTCAGGCTCGACCTTGTCTTATCTTGTCTTGCCAATTCCAAGTTCGAATCATCCTACCCTACTTCCAGGTGTCGCAACATGATCGTATGTCAAGGGTGCT